TGGTGAATAACAGCCTGGCCGTGCCGACCTACCGTGTGCCAGGCACCGTGCTAAGTAAGCACTTTCAACAAATCAGGTCACTGAAGAATGGCAAGTTGAGGGACCATCACCCTGTTTTTAGGGGGGGGGGAAACTGAGGCTCAGAGAGGCCAGACAACCTGTGCGAGGAGGTCACCAGGCAAATGAAACAGACAGAACTTTGCTGTGTGTCCAGTTAAAGCCTGGGCGGGCAGACAGGAAAATAACCATGCAAAGGGGCCCACGGCCCAGCCCAAGGCTCAGCCCCGGCCCAGCTGACCCCAGGTCCACACCTTTCCGCCACAGTGGACAACAGGCAAGGTGCCAGAGACAAAGCAGCAAAGGAGGAAATTCATGCCGCTGAGAGCAAAACTCCAGGCCTCTGGGAAGGCAGGGTGGGGCTGGGCACCACTGAGCACTAGCCTGGTGCCCTTGGGCCAAGGATGAGGCTTTTCTGAGCCTTCCTGCTCGTGTCTAAGGTGGGGTAACAGAACCTCCACCCCTCTCACTCCCTGTGGGATCCGAGAGGCTGACAAACTGAACTCAGCCTGGAGCCTTCGAGATGAACATTAACCCTTACTGCAGATAACAACAACAACAACAACGATGATGATGACTGGGATGTTATCATTTGGCAGCCACAGGCACAAATGGAGCCGTTCCCAGAATGGAGAAGTGACAGCCCATCTGGGAGGCAGAAGGGCAAGAGGCGGGGGAAGGGAGAAGAAAGAACCAAACACCCCTGGAGGGCTCACTGCCAGTTCTCATTCATCAGCAGCTTCCTGAATCCGGGCGAAGAGTGGAGTTTGCCCACTGGATAGATGAGCACACCGAGGCTTCTCGGGGCTGCCCAAAGGCCTGATCAGGCTCCAAAGAGGGCCCCCAATTTGCAGACTTTTGCTTGGGAGCTGACCCCAAGAGCACCCTGACAAGGGCCAGGAAAGAATCCTGCAGAAAGTACCCCCTCCCAGGGTCCTACTTCCAACCGATAGGGGAGTTCAAGTTTCATCCTTCAGCTCCCTTGTTCCCAGCATGCTCCCAGCCCAGCCCACCCCACCCAGGACTACAGAGATGGGGCCAGACAGTGGGGAACTGCCAGGGTACTGATGGGCAGACTAACATAAGGACGGACACCCGGACAGACAGACAAAGGGATCCGTTTGGGAGAGAAGCCAGCGTTTGCCAGGGACCAAGCTTTAGAGTTAGCCTGGGAGAACCAGACAACAGAGTCCCCTAGGGTACGGCCAGTCAGACGGCAGAGGCCAGCCAGGGTAACCCAACAGAGGGATGGCTAAGTCTGCGAGCGGCACGGACAGGCGGCCAGACAGCACAGGTCACCCTAGACAGCTAGCCAGGCAGCAGGGGGCTGCCCTGAGGGACTGGACAGATGGACAGCCAAATGGTAGTGGCAAGGAGTTCTATCGAGGACAGAGACAGCCAACCAGACGGCATGGACTGCTCCAGATAAATGAACAGCCAGCCAGACGGTAGGGGTCGAACCAATAGGTACCTAGCTGGCAGGTTTCGGACAGACAGAGAGAGAAGGGGGACCTAACCCTGACCCACAGGCAACCAGATGGTAGAATTCAGCCACGGAAGCTGGGGATCTGAGAGTCGGCGACGGTCCACCGCATTTCCTGGCCCA